AAAAAAAAAAAAAAACGATCACACACGTCCGTCCGACATGGCAGTCTGGTACTCTGGTACTTAGCCTCCCCACCTATGTACTTGCGACAGTTGTCGTCATCGCGTGGTCGTTTTTCGCGCGCGCCGCTTTCGACGTGTCTGTCGTCCGTGGTTGTTTATGTGCACGCTGCCGCCGTTTCAGAGCGAGTAGTTTATTAAGAATTTGAATCCTTTGTCTCMGAAATTTTTTTTTTCTGGTCATATTATACGCGGAAATCACCGAAAACGAGTATTCACATCATTTTTTTGTTTCATCCTGCCCGGAATGTCGTCGCAAAATTGTATTAGCATAAATTAAAAGAAAAAAACACGCGCGAAACTTCGGTAAAAAACCGGATTTCTATCGTTAGAACGGGAAAAACGCGCGATTCACGTTTGCCACCCTGAACACATGTTGATTACGGTGAGTGATAACCGCTGTTGTTGTTTGTGCCCGTCCCCGTCGCCACCGCCGCCGTCCAAGTTGGAGGACACTCCCAGTTTTGTTGTCTTTTTTCAAAACTTGAAACTTCAGTCCGCGTTTTGATGTACCAGTGATTTCTATGGCCAAGTCCAGGAACGGTCTGACGGCCGTCGGCCTGTCGGTTTTGGGAGCGTTTTTGGTCCTGTTGGCGTTCACGACAAAGAGCTGGTTGGTCACGGATGGGAAATTAGAGCACCCGAAATTCGAAAGGATCGGTTAGTATAGCGCGCGCGCAGGCTGGTCCGCSCGCAGGGTCACGCCCAAATTAGGGGCGCTCACATAGTAATTCGCATTTTTTTTGGTCCCTCCCGTCGAGTAGAGAATTTCGCATGTCCCAAAACGAAATATTTACATCCCGAGTGTCTATAAGTGCGCCATCTGTGTTGGGGATTTTAAAAAATGCGTTCAAATATTTTTAATATTGTTCAAAAATAGTTAGTAGGTACTTAATTTTTGCGCTGTTTAGCGTATTGATATAGGTTTAAGCTATTAAAGTCTTTAAMTATGTGGGTGTTTGAAATATAATCAATAAAATTATGTATTTTTATGTATTGTATCCTCTATTCTGACAGACTGGTTTCTAACCATTGAGGTCACTGGCCTTTTTATTCAACACATTTTTGCAGTTGAAACTTGAATCTATGAAAAATGTTTAG